CTCGGTGCATCTCCGGGGAGCCAGACGGCGAGCGGGCGTCCCCGGCGCGCGAGGGCCTCGCGGCGCGGCGGGCAGAGCTGTGGTGAGGCCGCGGGCGGCCAGACATCCTCGCGCCGTGAAAAAAACAGCGACAGAACGTTGTCGGCAATTTCGGCATCCAAGAGGCCCCGGGACCGCAAAGGACGGCTCAGGATGAAGAGCGGGTCCCATGGAAGTGGTCCAGACCTGGTGGAGCCACTTCGTGAAAAATCACGACGTCGGATGTCTGAGCGAGGGGGGGTCAGGCGACGACGGTCCTCCGTTGGAGGGCGGGCGTTGGTCCCACTCGATGCAGCACTCCCGCGCGCGGGGGTCTGGGAGGGAGGGAGCGAGAAGGGGGAGACGTGAGGCCAGGGGGAGAAGGGGTGGGCGGGAGGGGGCTCCCGCGCTGGGGGCCACGTGGACTCCAGGCCCTGGTGCGTGCGCGCCGATTGCCTCCTTCTCCTCCTCTGGCGTTGGGCGGGCTTTGAGCGGAGCTCGCAGCGTCGTGCAGCGTGACTCGTATGGGTAAGCGAGAAAAAACCCCAGAAAAGATCAAATGCAATTCACAAATATATTGTACGGCCGAGTGCCGGAAGGTGAGAAGAGACACGAAACAAAATGGAAAGAGGAGAGGCTCACAAGGGAGCTTAGCCAGGATGCCCTGACGGAGTAGGCGCAAACAAGGTTACCCCTATCCATCATCAACTCATCCACTCCATCATCAAAACCCCCGTCCCCATCGAGGCCCTCGTCGAGGGTCAGTGCTGCGCGGGAAAAACTGCAAGGTGTTCAAAGCCCAACGCCTCGGGGGCGGCCCTCGTCCAGGGCTGCCACTCCGAGGGCACTCATCTTCCTGCATTTCTACCCCTGCCTAGCTCAACATGTCGAGTGCAGGCGCTAAAATACGACAAAACACGTTTGGCGCTCTCTGTGGAGCTCATGAGGCAGGTGGCGTACGGCGTCGAAAATACGCCACTCTCTGAAACAACACATGGTGTTGAAAAGCATCTGATTCGTACATCCCATAACCCACTCCTCCGCATCCTCGAACGCTCCTCCGCCTCTTCCTGAAGAAGGGCCCATTGTGGCCTTGTGCTGAAGCCCCTAGGGCTGCCCATTCAGGAGCGCCCATCCGCTGCAGTGAAGAGAACAGACCAGGCATGCTTTGGAAACAGGTGCTCGCAGACCGCCGATCCACCTCACCACCTCCACATCCAAACCCCCGCCTCTCCTTAAATCTCTTCATACAGCAGGTCCTGAGCCCGGCAATCATCCGACAACATCGAACAAGGCGGCCAACGGGATCCGGGTTTCGGGACATTTTCGCTGCGCCAGCTCTCAAGCCCTACCGCCCTCGCCGAGGGCCTGGCGGTCGACTCGCTCGCGGCGGTCGTCTCGCACGGTATCTTTCACACTGGCAGAAGCTAGGGCCACTTACGTGTAACGCTGCAGGAGATGAAGAATATGATGATGAACAAAAAGAAGAAAAGGGAAAGGATGACACAACTGCGGCACTGGAGTGGAAGCTGCGATGTAAGAGAAAACCTTGACCAAGTGTGTGGAAGAAGCTGCCCTCACCGAGGGTCCTGGGTACAGTGCGTTACTCCACCCCCGCAATCCTGTCCCCCCATGTCGCCACCTCCCCCTCTGCACGTCCCGTCCGCGAAGCTGTTCTTTGCGATTGCCCTCACAGAGGGTTAAAGTAGCCGCAACCCGCTCTCGATACTCAGAGTGCGGTGCAAACAAATGGAGATGTGATCCTCCTCCTTTTTCCTTGACGCGGGGCCAGCGTGTCGAGCCGCTGGGCGCACGCCGGCAGGCAGGCGAGCACATGGAAATAACCGGGTTGTCTTTGAAATGTGACTCTCGCCCCGGAACGGCGCACATTCGCTTTAAACGCTTGCAGCCGTTTCAAAGATGGAGGCCAACTCTTTTTCACACTGTAGCTCTTGTCTTAGCACCGCGCTCATTCGCCTTCAAAGTTGGATACAGTTTCAAGGATGGAGGGCGGGTGGTTTTAAACATGTTACCCTCGCGCCGCGCCACTTGTCTTCAACGTTTGCAGCCGTTTCAAAGATTCGTACGGCTGCAGTCCCAGGAACGGTGTCCTGGCACGATTTACGATTGTCAGGACGCAACAGTCACGTTGATTCGCGGTGTCGGCTTCCCCAAAACGGTGTTCTGGTGCGATTTGGGAATTTAGCGTCGCAACAATCACGTTGATTCAAAGCGCCGAAGTTCCCGGATGATGCTTTGGCACGATGATGGGTTCATAGGCGGTTGTCTTCCAGTGGGGCGCTTCCCGGAATGAGCAACATGTTTGGTGGGGGCCGATGAAGAGGGAACTTGGGGGGAGGGTCATCGCACCAGCGTTGATGCGCCTTGGGTTTACACAGATCCTCCTCCTCGTCCTCCCCCATGTGTTCACCGAAGGGCTTCCATTCTGGGGGAACACATAATCCGATATCTTTGCCAAACTTTGGCCCAACGTTTGGCCACATAGGCGTTTCCAAAAGGCAGGGTGCAGCGGGGGTTCATCGTAGACGTCTTCGACACAGCTACTGCTGCTGCTCCTCCTCCCTCGCCTTGTTCTCCCCTCTCACCCGTCATCCTCCCTCGCTCGTTTCCACCTGCTCACCTCGGGCTGCGCCCCAAATGAACTCTCGGCCGCCTACTCCCGCGCGCCGTCCCCGCGAGGCGCCTGGCCGCTCCGGGCATGCCATGTCGGCTCGGACACTGGATCTGTGAGACGCGCTCCTCGAGCCCCCTGAGCATGCCCAGCTGCGACTCCATGTACCTGCAGCCCTCGTATTTTTTCCATCCCTCTCTTGCTTTTCCTGCTCTTGCCCCAGTGGCTCCTGTACCTCATCCTCTTGCCCCCCCTGATGTTGCTGCTTTTTCTCAGCCTCCTTCTCTTCCTCCTCCTCCTCCTCCTCCTCCTCCTCCTCCGTCACCTTGTCATTCGCATTCTCCTCCACCTCCTTCTCCTCCTCCTCGTCCTTCATCTTCATCTCCTCCTCCTGTGGGTACGCGCTACCCTTTCCATTCGCCCCGAGTGTTGCCCTCTAGATTCCAGCTCAGGCGCTTCCGTTGCGTGCCGATCCTCCTTCTTCTTCTCCTCCACTTCCTCTCCTGGTCCTCAGCATGCCACTGCCAGCCACTCGTCTCCTTCCCTGCCCCTTCCCTTTGCTCAATCGCCATTTCACCGCCGCCCTCCTCTGCCGCAGCCCCAGACCTCCCAAACCTCCCCTCCCCCCTCCCTCCTCCGATTCGCCGATCTCCCCAGCTCACCGTGCGCCTCGATGTCGGCTTCCCCCGCAACATCCCGATCTCTGTCCCCGTTCCCCTCGCCCCAATCCTCCTCTTTATCCGTCTCACTTCCTCCGTCTGTGGCTCGGTCTCTGTATCTGTCTCTGTCTCTGCCTCTGCCTCCCTCTTTCTCTGTCTCCATCTCATTGTCTCTGTCTTTTTCTTTCTCCCTCTGTCCCTGTGTCTCTGTCCCTGTGTCTCTGTCCCTGTGTCTCTGTCCCTGTGTCTCTCCCTCTCTCTCTTTCTGCCTGCCTGTCTTTGCCTGTCTGTCTGACTGTCTGTCGGCCTGTCTCTGTAATTCTGTCTGACTGTTTGTTTGTTCGTATGTCTGTCCCCCTCTTTTTCTTTTTATTCATCCCTACCTCACCTCCCCTCCCTGGTCACCTTCGCCCAATCATGTCATTCTCTTCGTCTCCTCTTTACCAGGACGCTCCATTTCCCTCCCTCCCCCCCTCCTCGCTGTGCTTCCTCTCCACTCCTCCTCATTCCGATCCTTCTCCTCCTCCTCCTCCTCCTCCTTCTTCTTCTTCTCCTCTTCCTCCTTCGACTGTCAATCCGCCTTTCTGAAGGCATGCAATTCCCCCACCTCCCCTCCCCCCTCTGTCTCCCCCAGCCCACCCTCACCCGGCGGCTTCCTTCCCTTGCTGCTCCTGTGCCCTCCCTTCATCTCTGTTGGCTCAAATGCGACGGCAATGGCGCAAACCATAGTATGTCACCGAGCCGTCGCCACAGCAAGCCGTGCTCAGACAGTGCTGGCTCGGGCTGCGCGCTTGAACTTGAGAGTGCACCGATCAAGGTCAGGCTTTGTCCCTGGACATGCACTTGCACAAACATCTCTCTCACTGTATCTTTTTATTTCATCTCGTCTCTCTCTCTCTCTCTCTCTGTCTCGATCTCTCCTTATCTATACTGTTTTTTGTTCTCTCCCGATCTCCCTCACAAGAGGCTCCCAAGATGCCCCAAAGAGGGTCCCAAACGGCCCCCAAGAGGCTTCACAACTGCCTTCAAGAGGCCCCCAAGAAGCTTCCCACGAGATCCCAACGAACCTCCAAACAGCCTCGAACTCACAGCCCAGGCACGGTGGCGGGATGGGCCGACGGCCACCAGATCCGCCGCCCCCTGCTTGCAGGGGTGCACGGCGTGCTGGATGAGCTGTCAGGTTTTGGTTTTGGTTCTTTTTCCAAAAGAACTCCCCAGTGGGCTCCGGCAGAACCCGCCACCGTGCGCAAAAACGGCCGTTTCGCTCGGGACATCCTCAAAAAATCGCGAAGATGGCCCAAGATGGCCTCCAAGTCCGCCCGAGATGGTCCAAGACGGCCTCCAAAACGGCCCAAGAGAGTCCAAGACGGCCCAAGACGGCCCAAGAGGCCCCCCAGAGGCCTCCCAGACGGCCCAAGAGGCCTCCAAGAGGTCCTCCAGGAGAGTCCGAAGAGGCCAAAATCATTGATTTTCCGTTGGTTTTTGAAGGATTTGGCATTTGCGCCTTTTCGGCTCTCCGACGGCTCAAGACGGCCCAAGAAGCCCCCAAGATCGCCCAAGAGGCCCCCAAGAGAGCCCCCTGATGGCCCAAGTGGCCTCCAAGATGGCCCCTAGAGGGCCCCAAGACGGCCCCAAGAGGCCTCCAACACGCCCAAGATGGCCTCCAAGACGCCCAAGATGGCCTCCAAGACGGCCCTGGAGCGCCCCAAGAGGGTCCCCCGTTGGCCCAGACAGGCCCCCAAAACGGCTCCCGACGGCGTCAGACGTGCCAGGAACCCACCAAGATGGCCGAAGTTGGCTCGAAGCTGGCCCAAAAGGGCCCAAGAGGCCCCCAAGAGGGCCTCCAGGAAGGCCAAAAGATGCCAAAATCACTGATTTTCCCAAGGTTTTTGATGGATTTGGGCATTTCCCTTCTTTCGGCCTTCCGACGGCCCGAGACGGCCCAAGAGCCCCCAAAGATCGCCGAAAGATCGCCCAAGAGGCCTCCAAGACGACGACGATGACCATCAAGACGCCCACGTGTTCCCCGAAGGCTTTCCAAACCGATTCGGGGAACACATGGTCCGATGGCTTGGCAGGTCTGGCCTCAACGTTCGGCCACATAGGCGCTTCCACAAAGGCAGGGGGCGGCGGTGATTCGCCGTAGGCGTCTTCGATCCGCCGCCCCCTGCTTGCAGGGGTGCACGGCGTGCTGGACGATTCAGGTTTTGGTTTTGGTTCTTTTTCTAAAAGAACTCCCCAGTGGGCTTCGGCCCGTCCCGCCGGCCACCCGTAAATCTCATAAAACCCATCTGTCAATGCCCAAAAACGGCCGTTTCGCTCGGGACATCCTCAACAAATCGCGAAGATGGCCCAAGATGGCCTCCAAGTCCGCCCGAGATGGTCCAAGACGGCCTCCAAAACGGCCCAAGAGAGTCCAAGACGGCCCAAGACGGCCCAAGAGGCCCCCCAGAGGCCTCCCAGACGGCCCAAGAGGCCTCCAAGAGGTCCTCCAGGAGAGTCCGAAGAGGCCAAAATCATTGATTTTCCATTGGTTTTTGAAGGATTTTGGCATTTGCGCCTTTTCGGCTCTCCGACGGCTCAAGACGGCCCAAGAAGCCCCCAAGATCGCCCAAGAGGCCCCCAAGAGAGCCCCATGATGGCCCAAGTGGCCTCCAAGATGGCCCCTAGAGGGCCCCAAGAGGGCCCACGAGGCCTCCAACACGCCCAAGATGGCCTCCAAGACGCCCAAGATGGCCTCCAAGACGGCCCTGGAGCATTCCAAGCGGGCCCCAAGTCGGCCCATAGAGGCCCCCCAAACGGCTTCCGACGGCTTCAGACGTGCCAGGAACCCACCAAGATGGCCGAAGTTGGCTCGAAGCTGGCCCGAGACGGCCCAAAAAGCCCCAAAGATCGCCCAAAGCTTGCCCAAGAGGCCTCCAAGACGGCCAAGATGACCTTCAAGATGCCCACGTGTTCCCCGAAGGCTTTCCAAACCGATTCGGGGAACACGTGGTCCGATAGCTTGGCAGGTCTGGCCTCAACGTTCGGCCACATAGGCGCTTCCAAAAAGGCAGGGGGCGGCGGTGATTCGCCGTAGGCGTCTTCGATCCGCCGCCCCCTTTTGATTTATCAAAGGGGTGCCTGGCGTGTTAAACCTTCTCGGTTTTGGTTTTGGTTCTTTTTCCAAAAGAACTCCCCCTGGGGCTTCGGCCCGTCCCGCCGGCCACCCGGAAAGATCTTCCGGAGGTGGTTGCAAAGGGTTTTTCCGTTTCAGACGGCTCCAAGATGACCTAAGATGGCCTCCACGACGGCCAAGATGGCCTCCAAGACGGCTACGATGGCCCCAAGATGCCTCCAAGATGGCCCAAGACGCACCCAAGACGGCCTAAGATGGCCTCAAGATGGCCCACAACGGCCCAAGAGGCTCCCAAGAGGCCTCCAAGACGGCCCAAGAGGCCTCCAAGAGGTCCTCCAGGAAGGCCCGAAGAGGCCAACATTATGGATTTCCCTTAGGTTTTTGAACGATTTTGGCATTTGCGCCTTTTCGGATTTCCGACGGCCCAAGACGGCCCAAGAGGTCTCCAAGATCGCCCAAGAGGCCCCCCAAAGGGCCCCATGACGGCCCAAGTGGCCTCCAAGACGGGCCCAAGAGGGCCCCAAGACGGCCCACGAGGCCTCCAACACGCCCAAGATGGCCTCCAAGGCGCTCAAGATGGCCTCCAAGACGGCCCCGAAGCGCCCCAAGAGGACCCCAAGTCGGCCCAGAAAGGCCCCCAAGACGGCTCCCGACGGCGTCAGACGTGCCAGGAACCCACCAAGATGGCCGAAGTTGGCTCGAAGCTGGCCCAAGAGGCCCCCAAGAGGGCCTCCAAGAAGGCCAGAAGAGGCCCAAAACATTGACTTTCCTTAACTTTTGACGGATTTTGACATTTGCTTCTTTTCGGCCTTCCGACGGCCCGAGACGGCCCAAGAGCCCCCGAAGATCGCCGAAAGGTCGCCCAAGAGGCCTCCAAGATGGCCCCAGAACGGCCCAAGAGGGCCCCAAGAAGGCCCCATGAGGCCCCCAAGACGGCACAGGAGGCCTTTAAGACGCCCAAGATGGGCCTCCAAGACGGCCCTGGAGCATTCCAAGAGGGCCCCAAGTCGGCCCATAGAGGCCCCCCAAATGGCTTCCGACGGTTCAGACGGACCAGGAGCCCACCAAGACGGCAGAACATGGCCCTAAGATGGCGCAAGACGACCCAAGAGGCCTCCAAGAGGGCCTCCAGGAAGGCCCGAAAAGGCCAAAATCATTGATATCCCATAGGTTTTTTGAAGGATTGTGGCATTTGCTTTTTTCTGCCTTCCGACGGCCCGAGACGGCCCAAATGCCCCCAAAGATCGCCCAAGAGGCCCAAGACACGGCCCCAAGAGGCCCCCAAGACGGCCCAAGAGGTCTCCAAGACGCTCAAGATGGCCTCCAAGACGGCCCAAGAGCCCTCCAAGACGTCCTCCAAGAAGGCCCGAAAGGGTCAAAATGGCCTCCAG